AACACCACCAGAGACTAGCACTCAGCCATATTCAAAATATGGTTCATTACTACAGGACAATTGACCTGGGTTTTTTTTTTTTTTTACCACATGTTAATCGTATTAAAATTGGGCAATAGGTGAGGAGATTGTTCTAGATTAAAAGAGACTGACAAGAACACAAGCAAATACATTGAGTAACCCTTCTTTGTTCGATTCAAAAAAATCAAGTGTTAAAAAAAAGAAAAACGAAATCAAATGTAAAAAGACATTTTGTTTTTTGGACACTGGGAAATGGCATTGTGGCTGAGTTTTTAAATTAAAAAAAGGTGTGTTTTAAATGTATACTGAAGTATTTAGGGCTAAAATAATGTGTCTGGGATTGGCCTTAAAATGCTTCAGAACAATGAGTATGGCAAAATGTTGACCACTGTTAAAACTCAGCAAGGGTAGGGGAATGCTAACTGCACTCTTCACTTTTATGTACAAATTTTGGAAATTTTCACAAAGTTTTTGTGTTTACGTAAATGAGATGATGTGGGAAAATATTCTAGGTGTATTAAGTGAAAAGAAGTCTGGAAAATAACTTGTTTGATCCCGTTTGACTTTTTAAAGGTCTTATAAGTGCAGATTTCAAAAATATAAAGGTAGACCCAAAAGGTTAACAGTGGTAAATTCTAAGTTGTGGGTTTTCAAGTGATTTCTATTTTTATCTTTTTCAGTATTTTTCAAGTTTTGTTTCTTAAAAAAGTTTTCCAAGATGTTTTATGTTTCTTGATATTTAGCAGATAAACTTTGTGGCTAATTATTATATACATAGTGATAAAACTTTAAAAAGAAGCTTATCGCCCTATTAAGGTAGCTCTTGATTTAAAAAGTAAGCTTGAATGATTATTTGTAAAATTAAGATAGAAAGTTGTAAAACCGTCCGTTGTCCTTAAGCTCCTTTCCTGCAGAGTTGGCATAAATCCGATTTCCTCTGAGGAGTACAGGGCTGCAGCAGGCGTGGCGGGCGAGGAGGAGCTACTGTTCCCAGACTTCAAATCTCGCTGGAAACCCACTTAAAGTATTCAATAGCATAAGACGACTGAAGCCACGTCGCAGGCCCTACAGCATCTGCTGAGCGGCAGGAGGGCGTGGCACAGCCGCTGAGCGCCCCAGGCGAGGCGACGAACGCAGCAGCTCCGGCTTCGCAAACGGTTTCAGCCGGGGCCGAGCGCGGCGGGGACGTGCACACACGTGCCAACACCGGGTTCACCGTGCTTCTGGCCAGCAGCCCCGGAACGTTGATCTGAATCACGACTTCCCGGCTCCGGGTGAGCCGGTTGGACCCTAGACTCCGGCAGTCCCCGCCCTGCTCGTCGGGTCGCCGCCGCGGGTCCCGAACGCTCCGTGGCGCCCCCGCCTTCCGCTCG